AAAAAAAAAAAAAAAAAAATAGGCGACACTGGGGAGGGGAGGAATTTTAATACAATTTTTTATCTGTGAGCCTAAAATTGCTCCACAAAAAGTCTACAGATTAAAAAAAAAATCCAGAACCCACCTTTAATTGACTTATCATTGAAATAATCTTCTAACCCTGGACTCCCTTGAGTATCAAAGAGACTCTGATTTACTACAGACACGGTTAGAATCTCTTCCGTTGACATTTCCATCAATTCATCTTCACCATCCAAACTTGACAAACCAATCAAATCATTATTGTTAAATAAACTTGCTCGAATTTTCTCAACTTTGGCTCGGGATCTTATCTGTGTGAATAGAGAACAGGGTCAGGATTTGAGTAGCACGACCAGTCATTCAGTGTGATTGAACTTCTCCCTCCCACCTTTTCCTGGAAACTCTCTATTGGTCTGGAGAGATGTGAGAGCTGCCCCACTTGGGTGAGCTGGACCTCCTGGGGAACTTTCTCCCACAGGCCAACAACAGCGACTTTTAGCAAATGACTCAACTTGAAATCTCTGCTGCTAAACCCCGGCCAGGTCTGTGAATCAGAATCTTTACTCTGATTCCCAGGGAGTAAAAATCCATGCCTGGCTCTGAGGAAGTCCCCACAAAGGAGGGTGATGGATTCAAAGAAGTGATTCTAGGAAAGAAATCAACTGGTTGATCCTTGAGCCCTCCTTGCAAAACCCGCTGGAGAGTAATGCATGCAAGCTTCCTATGCGTACTATTATACAAAAGTACAGAAAGGCTTTGATGCAGGATTTCTAAACAGCGAGGCCTAGGAAATACATGGGAAGTAGAAGTATGATTTGCCAGCATTCAGGTCATCTGAAACTCAGAATGGCAGGAGTCTATTTTCACAGTGCTCAGTGAACATCCCTTCTGCCAATGGCAGCACCCAAAAGAACCGAAGGCCACTCAAGAAGATATGATGGGGCTGAGTCAGAATGCACTGATGGCATCCACTCACCCACCATGGAAGGTCAGGCCCTGAGCCCTCTGCCTCCTTTATTTTGTGACATTGGACGTGGTACCACTCTCAGAGATGTCATCCTAAGCAGACTCACTGGTTCATTCCAAGGGCTGCCCCAGGGAGCCTTCAAGTGCTCCACCATTATCTACTAGGAAATAACTTTGGAAGGTTTAAAGAGGCTTGGGGGATTGAAATCGGTCATGATTTAGCGGTTGTGCGTGCCTGAGAGCTGTTACCTCCACGACTGCAAAGCCTTTGATGGGGCGCGCCACAAGGGGCTGGTTGTCCAGGGAAGTGACTGTGTACATGGAGCCCATGTCTGACACTGAGGCCGTCTCTGCATTGTCCAGGGGCTCGCCCAGGCTGCCCAGGCTGCCCAGGCTGCCAGTGCTGCACAGGGAAATGTCTAGGCTCTCCTGGCTGGACACCACGTGGGGCTCCAACAGGCCTGGAGGGATGGGCAGCTCGAGGCCAGCGGGCAGCGGATCCACAGAGAGGTCACTGATGGTCTGTGAGATGCCCTGGGAGCTGCAGATGGAGGCCTGGCTGGTGGAGGCAGAGGCGCTGATGCTCATGGCGGGGGTCAGGCTGCTGGATGTGCTGACCTCCATGCTGTCTGTGCTGGGGAAGGCCAGTGTCTTCTCAGGCTCGGCTTTCCCGTCCCCGCCCTCGGCCTTGTCTTTCGGCTTCTTGGGGTCTTCTTCCTGCAATGGGATGTAGATCTCATCTTTGAAGACCCCGCCATGGGCGTTGCAGGCCTTGCGGATGGCACCTCTGACCACACCCTCATCCAGGTGGGTGGGGATCCCGGAGATCACCAGCAAGCGGCTGTGGGCAGTGGGGCCCACCAGGGCCTGGCAGGCATCAGCGATGGCATCACTTGTCACGCCCAGCCCCTGTGGGTCCTTCCTGGTGAGGTGGCGGAGGATGATGAGCAGGGTGAGTGCACGGTGGAACCACAGCATGTCCTCGGGCTTGCTGCCTCCGATGCTGAGCACAGTGGGGTCTGAGTCCACCGTGCGGGAGGACTGGCGCTTGCCTGACGAGGAGGCCTTTTCCCGCTTCATCTTGACTTTCTTCCTCTTGGAGAGGAGGCTGGGACTTTGTGGGGTCTGTCCTGGGGAGGACGAGGAGGAGGAGGATGAGTCGCTGAGATTTGGGGCGGTTGCTGAGGTCACCCCGCTGGCTGTGACACTCATGTTAGTAGGCAGGGTCACTTCGGCCACCGCCAGGCACCCTTCCATAAGTGCATGAAAATATGTAGAGAATCTGCCCTGGTCGCCAGCCACCACCCCTCCAGAGCCCCTACAAGTGCTGCCTGAGACCCAGTTCTGCGTCTCCTCATCGTATAGCTTGTGGAGCTCTGACTGCAAGGCCATCAGCATAGCCAGGCAGGGGTTCAGCTGGAGAGCAATGGAAGAGGACAGGCCAGCAGGGTGCCGTCTCTGTTCCAGGGCATGCACCGTGCGCAGGAGCTCCGCCAGGAGATGGAAAACAAGCTCCTTTACGCAGGCCGCCATGTCTGTGGTCCACAGGAAGTTTCCTACGGCAAATGAAAATAACAGCAATTACTATGCAGCACTCCCTATGTTCCAGGCACCGTTCTGAGCCTGGATTCAACCCTCATAACAACCCTGTGAACAGTGACTATGCAATTCAGCTCCTTCTTACAGATGGAGAAACAGAGGCTCAGAGGTGGAGGCCTGGCTGGAGGTCACACAGCTACCAGAGAGCTAGGATTCAGAGCTGGCAGGTCGGCTCCAGAGGTGACAGCACACTGAAATATTATTCCTTTTAAACTCCTCTTTTAGTCCTGATTTTTGCCAATAAGAAAGCCTTTCTTTGAGGCTGGCATATTCTTTTTTCTTTTTTTTGAAACAGGATCTTGTTCTGTCACCCAGGCTGGAGTGCAGTGGCACAATCACAGCTTACTGCAGTCTCAACCTCTCAACCTCCTATGCTCAAGCAATACCTCAGCCTCCTGAATAGCTGGGATTACAGGTGTGTGAGACCACGCCCAGCTGATTTTTGTATTATTATTTTTCTTTCGTAGAGGCAGTTTCCATGATTTTGCCATGTTGTCCAGGCTGGTCTAGAACTCCTGGGCTCAAGTGATCCTCCCACCTCAGCCTCCCAAAGTACTGGGTTTGTAGGTGTGACCCACTGTGCCTGGACATGAGGCTGGCATATTCTTTTTATTTTTTTAATTAAATTTTTTTCTTTAATAATTTTTAAAGCTGCTTTGTTTTTTTGTTTCTTGAGACAGAGTCTGTCTCTATCGCCCAGGCTGGAGTGCAGTGGGGCAATCTTGGCTCAGTGCAACCTCTGCCTCCCAGTTAAACCTGAAGTAATTCTCATGCTTCAGACTCCAGAGTAACTTGGACTACAGTCGTGTGCCATGACACCCAGTTAATTTTTGTAATTTTAGCAGAGATAGGGTTTCATCATGTTGGCCAGGCTGGTTTTGAACTTTTGGCATTAAGTGGTCCACGTGCCTCAGCTTCCCAAAGTGCTGGGATTACAGGCCTGAGCCACTGCACCTGGCCAAGGCTGGCATATTCTTTTTTTTTTTGAGATGGAGTTTCACTCTTGTTGCCCAGGCTTGAGTGCAATGACACGATCTTGGCTCACCATAAACTCTGCCTCCCAGGTTCAAGCGATTCTCCTGCCTCAACCTCCCAAGTAGCTGGGATTACAGGCATGTACTACCATGCCTGACTAATTTTGTATTTTTAGTAGAGATAGGATTTCTCCATGTTGGTCAGGGTGGTCTTGAACTCCTGACCTCAAGATGATCCACCCGCCTTGGCCTCCCAAAGTGCTGGGATTATAGGCGTGTGGCACCGTACCCCGCCAGCTGGCATATTCTTTTTTTCTTTTTTTCTTTTTGGGTGGGGACACAGCCAAAGCATATTCTTAACAGAGTGAGCCAGAGTCCCAGTGCCTTTGACAGTGAACAGCATTCAGCTAGATTTTTGTGACGCCAACTATTTTCTTTGAATGTATGTACATATGAATGGATGGATAGATGGATTGATGAGTTGATTGAGACAGGGTCTCATTGTGTTGCCTTGGCTGGTCTCAAACTTCTGGGCTCAAGCCATCCTTCCACCTCAGCCTCCCAAAGTGCTGGGATTACAGGCATGAGACACCAGGCCTGGCCTGTATTTATTTTTATCGATATCTTTTAATTATGCCAAGGGATACTAATTTTGTATTTACAGAAGTGATGTAAAGGTTTCTTTAAAACTAAATTTAAATTTTAAAAAAGGAGGTGTTGAATGCAATAAAAACTGCTAAATAAATGCTGGCTGGGTGCAGTGGCTCAATCACGCCTGTAATCCCAGCACTATGGGAGGCCAAGGCAGGTGGGTCACCTGAGGTCAGGAGATTGAGACCAGCCTGGTTAACATGGTGAAACCCTGTTTCTACGAAAATACAAAAAAATTAGCCAAGTGTGGTGGCAGACGCCTGTAATCCCAGCTACTTGGGAGGCTGGGGCAGGAGAATCACTTGAACCCACAGGTGGAGGCTGCAGTGAGTCGAGATTGCGCTACTGCACTCCAGCCTGGGTGACAGAGTGAGACTCCATTTCAAAAAAATAAAATAAGTAAATAAATGCTGATAGGCACAATTTGTGGATGTGACAACAATCATATAATGGTGGCATGATAATGACTGAAGTTTGGGAAACACTGTCTAGAACCACAAGATGGACCATACATTTGTGCCAAGGTCTCCTTTGTACCAGATGCATATCTCATTCACATATTCATGTGACCTGGATCTCAGTGGAAAGAGAGAAAGCTCATGTATGTCAGACCTGATTAGGGATCATGAACATTTAAAGCCTGCATCCCACTGAGCCAGCTGAGCCCTCATCCTGCAAGAAAGCCTGCAGTTCACTACATCCAGATGGCTCTTGTACAGGATAAAAGATGACTGTCCAGGGGAATCCTAAGGGCCTGCTGAAGCTGATTTACTAAGTCCAGCACCTACCAATGAGGGGACCAAGCTTCCTGTTCTCTTAGGACTGACACTGCCTGCGAAATCTGGTTGGAAACGAGTTTGTGACTGTCCTGGAACGTGGGCTCTCATAGAACCTTCACAGAGGACAGATGTCCATGCTCCCCTCTCTGCTGGGGCACAGTGATGGGTCTCAGGTGCCAGATCTATTCATGTCACCTCAGTTGTCTTTGCTCTACCATTTAACATTCATGTAAGATGACCTTGGAGAGAATTCTTCACCAAAATTGCACATGGCGGCCTATGAGCCGAAACTCATTCTCAGGCAGTGTTCCCTGATTACGTTCCCCTGATCCACTCCCTGGGTGTTTTTTATTTTTTGCAGAGATGGGGTCTGGCTATGTTGCTCCATATTCTGAACTCAAGTGATCATCTTGCCTCAGCTTCTCAAAGTGCTGGATTACAGGTGTGAGCCACTGTGCTCTGCCCTCCTAGGGTGTATTAAAGAATTTGACTTGGTTGCCAACACGTAAAAATTGGGAAATTTACATAACATTTGGATTCCTGGATTTTCTTGAAATAAGAAACTACAGTTCTGCAGGAGCAGGGCCATGTTCTCCTATAGCAGCAGGTGACAGGGCAAGTGTCCCCTGTGCCTCCAGCTCACCAAAGCCCTTCCCCCTCCTCCGCCAACTTTCCTCTTTATTTCCCTCATTTAGCTTATCTGTTTGAACCCTGAAGGCATCTGAGTGTGAGATGTTTTCTTCCCTGCAACATTATGAAAAAATCCAAAAATACAGAAAACCTGATGAAATTATACAGCAAATACCTGTGTACTTACCACCTAGATTACACCATAAGCATGTTGCTATATTTACTCTACCACACATCTATCCACCCCTCTATTCATCCACAAACCCATCTTACTTTTTTATTATTTCAAAGTAAGTCGTGGACATCAGTATGCTTCATCCCTAAACACCTAAGCAGGCATATCATTGATTAAAGTTTAACATTTATTTAGAATTTGTTTTTTTTTTTTTTTTTTTTTTTTTTTTGAGACGGAGTTTCACTCATGTTACCCAGGCTGGAGTGCAATGGCGCGATCTCGGCTCACTGCAACCTCCGCCTCCTGGGTTCAGGCAATTCTCCTGCCTCAGCCTCCTGAGTAGCTGGGATTACAAGCATGCACCACCATGCCCAGCTAATTTTTTGTATTTCTAGTAGAGACGGGGTTTCACCATGTTGACCAGGATGGTCTCGATCTCTTGACCTCGTGATCCACCCGCCTCGGCCTCCCAAAGTGCTGAGATTACAGGCTTGAGCCACCGCGCCCGGCCTAGAATTTGTTGAGGCAAATTTGCATATGGTAAAATGCACAATTTTTATGTTTATCATTCCATGAGTTCTGCAACCCTTTTGACCCTTTGAGGAACTATGCAGTTATAACCTTTGATTTTGCAACATTGTTTACTTCCACAGCACCTTTCACACCTAAAGTTACAATAATGACTTAAACTTCTGTTTTAAAGTAAAGTGGATAAAGTTAATCTTATTTTTGTGGTTAGTTGCCCCTCCTCAAAATAATGAAAATACCTGCCAAATCATGGATTTGGGAGTATAGGCTGTACCTTAAGATCCATTCCCCAAGCCCACTTCAAATGACAGCAATCTGAAGGAGGCTACAGCTGCCTGGGCTACTGTGGCCACTCCCTATGCCACCTGGCAAGCTCTCTCAGGTACCATGCCAGCTGCACTCCCACCCTAGATTCCAATCCCCAGGGAAGGCAGCCTCACCTAGTAGTTCCACCACCTGCAGGAGGACAGATGTTGGAATGGTGTCAGGCTCATCTTCGGATTTCCCTTCACTGTCCTCTGATTTCCAGGAAAGCAGCTGCTCTGCAAAGGCCATAGCCAGTGGGAACTCCAGGGGCAGGGAATGTAACACCAGGACCGCTCCAGGAGGTGGAGACACCCCTGCAAGAAACACCCAGGAAGAACACAGGTGATTGGCAGCAGCTGATCCAAATACCCACAAAAGGACCTGCTGGGTGTGCAGGTAGAAACAGGGCTGGAGAGCCTACCCACTCATCTGCTTCAGGAGGAGAACACATAACTCCTGACACCTTGGACAGTGGGCTGCAGGGACACGAGGAGATGGAGGCCATCCTTCCAGGGAGTACACTTACTAGGGTGGGACGAAGGGCACGATGGGAACAGAGGAGGACACACACTTGTCATTCAGTTAGATACCAACCAAAATGGGAACAGTAAGTCATACTTTAAAAGATGCCTCACTGGGATATTCCCAGCTTGACAAAAAAATAATTAGTCCTTTGGTATGGCTGCAATCTCACTAAGACCATTATGCTTATACAGTGGACCAGCAAGGGGCCCCCAAGACTTAAGACTACTGGCACCTTGGATTTGATTCTCTTTTATCACCTTTTGTCACTGCCGTGAACTACGTGTGATCAAAACTGTCTACAGTGAAAGGAAGATGGTCCCAAGGCTTGATCCCCCTCACATCCAGCCCTGTACCCCAAACCTCTCTATAAATACCAGTCAAACACAAGCCAGGGCATCAGAGGCTTTGGACAAGTCAGGAGCAAACCACATTAGCTTGTGTACTTTGGGGTGAATGCTTACATGGTGATAATAGTGGAATGACAGAGATCCTGTTTTAAATGTAAAGTTTGAAAAACAGCTAGTATAGGCAAAATATGAAAAACAAACTAAAAAAAAAGACTGTAAAGTTGTTTAGCAATGATCAAATCACTTAAGAAATGTCCTTTCATTTCATTCCCTAAGATGCAGTGTCTCAAGGATTGGGGCTGTGGAGAAGCCCAGGCCCATCACTTTGGCTAAAAGTTCACGTGTTTTCTGTCTCTGGCAAACACGTGTCAGTCTTTTCCTGTCAAGCATGCTGAGGAGGAGCAGTGGAGGCCTGTGATGACACAGAGCCAGCAGGCCTTGGTGCATACAGAGGACAGGCAGTGACAGCTTCAAGGCATGCGGAGGCAGAGCCCTCATCTAACTCTAAAACCTTGGAGGCTTCAAAAAATGCCCAGGAGATGAGAGCAATCAAGCTCCCAGTTAGAGGAGGAGCAGACGCTCACAGTGGCCAGTGCCCCAGGGAACGATGTTGAGAACTGGGTTAATGAGAACTCAAGGAATGGCAACTGGTATTGTCACAGCCTGAGCCTGCTGTAAGAATATGATTGCTCTGGTTATATCATTCTAAACAGGCATATCTCAGCACACACTTGTGAAAAGAAAGGGAATCACTGTAGTCTGGACAGCATCTGCCAGGCCTTCCCTAAGCAGGAAAGACAAGTCTTTTAATTTACTGCCTCTAAAAGCAGCAGCAGTTTCTTTTAGAAGAAGTCCCAAGAAGTCCTATTCTTTATCAATACGAATTAGAACATGCAAGGTACAAAATTCATTGTAGCTTCAAAAAGAAGGCAAGCAGAGAATGATTTCTAGCTGTTCTCATCACCACGAGCTCCTGGAGACTCACCCAATTTGATGTGGACTCTGTCTGTGGAAAGAACCACAGAGGGGTACTGGTCGGCGGTGGGGGGAGGTGCGAGCCCAGTGTTGGCCGGGGATGCGTCCCGTGGGTAACAGGCGGCCTCAATAAGGTTCAGCTGGCCATTTCGCTTCACTTTGTGGCCAAGGCCATATACGAGCACCCGTGCCCATGGTGCCTTGTATAAAGAGGAGCTGAGAAGGAGGGATGGGTGTTAATACAGGGTCCAGGCACACACACAGGGATAGGCAGCACTGGCTTCTCACCAGGGGACATTAGATGAGAACTGGGCCCAAGTCATTTCCACCATACTTTAGAAAGTCATTCTTTATAGACTAATTCCCCAAACATAGAAATATGGAAAGAACTATAAGTCATTTGCATTAAAGAATCAAAGTGATTTTAATTGTTTTCCTTGGGAAGTTTAACCAGAATTCATTTAGCTTTCCTCTCCCCATCACCATCTTCTTAAGAACAGACAACTTACTCTTTGCGGAATCCAGATTGACTTTCTTTACAAGACACAACAACAAAAGCTGCCCCAGGAAAATTCACGTCCATGTTGACTTTGGATTCGGAAATTGGGAACTCTTCAGAGGGGAACTGCTCTGGTGCTGTCTGCAAAGAGACACTGAATAAGGAAAGCCATGGGCTAAACACAGGGACAGCATCTCATCTTCTCATCTCACAAGGCCCAGGAAATCAGCCAAACGACTAACTAGTCCTCTGGAAGGAAGCAAGCTACAGATGAGATAAAGCAGAAGAGCTTCTACGAAAAGGAAACAGAGAGGAATGGGATTCGGAGGGGAAAGGAGAGTCATTTTCAGCAAGCCAGTGAGACTCCCAGTTAAAAACGGTAACCACAGTGTAGGGACATTAGCTTTAGACTTCTACCTGCAGGAAAGAGCAGATCTGTTTTGTCAACTCTAAAAGGCTCTCCTCGCCCTGGTGCAGGGTCCGGGTGATGGCCACATTGAGCCACTCTCTCACTGTCTGGGAGTTGCCCTGGTAAAAGAGGTCCGTGGCGGAGCAGTTCTGGGAATGGATGCAATGCTGCAGAGACTGCGCCAGGAGGATTGAGCTGGAGCTAATGGTGCCATCTGGGGACAGAAAGGAAACAGAAGTTGACAAGAATCAAAGCAGCCAGTAGCTATGAGAGTCTAGGCAACAAACAATGAACAATCCATTCAGATACTCCACATGGGAGTGTTATCCTGGATACGATGTCCTGGATAACAGATGCCAGCAATCAGATCCTCTGCACCAGGATAGCTGAGGGGACCCAGGAGATCAATGGGCTTCAGACTTCTGCTTTCTTTTCAGCTATGAAACTGCTTCCTAAAATAAAATCTCACACAGAGGCCTGGATCTATGAAATAGATCAAATGGGGCTGCTTGGGTCCAGGGGTTCTCAGAGCCTGGCCTGTGTGACCACCCTGGCGCCTGCAGGGTACCTCAGGGCAAAGCCTGTAGAGAAGCTTGTTAGATCATCATGGCAAAGCTTCTGCCACCACACTTGATGCATTCCAGGTATCTAAGTTCTTGGGGTGGGCCGTGGACCCTGGGTACTCAAATGGGCCAGTAGAGGTGTAGTGCATATATGCCCTGGCTGGGTCAGACCCCACAGCTGTGAGCTGGAGGGCAGCTACCCAGGATGCTGACTGGGCTTGAAATGCGATCTGCAAGTGAGCTTTGAGGGGTGTCCCTGCAGCCTCATCTCTTGTTCCCATCTAGTTGCTGGAAGATCACGGGGGCAGGCTGGAGGCTGAGATGTCAGAGGAAGACAGAAAGGGCCTGTCAGTCCTGGACCGGGCTGAGGGTAGACTTATCACCTGGCATTCACTGGGGAGCACACATAGCTCTCATGCCAAGGGGCACACAGGCTGGCCTTTGGAAACAGCTCCACCAGAACTCATGATGAACCAAATAGGTCTGCTTTGGAAGACACTGATGACGGGAACATTCCCTTTCTATCTAATGTCAAATAGAATGTCTGGCAACAATACAGTGACCTGGTTTCCTAAATAATAGTTAATTTTCCTTGGTCCACAATTATCTTGGGAAGCTCGATGAATGCTTAACAGAGTAATGACTCAAGTGAGTAATCCATTACATTTATCTAAGAGTGAGAAAGCCCTGCCAGGAGAATCCCAGTTCCTGGGTGCAATTTCTCACGTGAGCCTATGCGCACCATGAGACACTTCTTGTCCTCATGTGGGGACTGATTACACTATGTACAGTGCCTGCCTGGTGCTGAGTTCTGGAGTGACAGCAGCAAAGCTAAGTTTTACCTGGGAGGGGAGGTGCAAGGAGCTGACTGGACAGCAGCTGCAGGTGCTCCAGGGTAATGTCCCGGATGGCAGGAATGTGGAAGAGGCGGGTGAACAAGTGAGGCAACTTGGGGGCGAAGATATTGAGTAGGGCCATGCGGCAGTACAGCCTGGCCAGCGCAGCCTCGCAGCGCAGCAGCTCCCTGCAAAGGAAAAGGTAGGTGAGATGTTCAAATCCCTGACTCTCCGGCCCCCACATCGCAGGTTCTGAAGGGAAAGGATCCCATGTCAGGCTTCTCTTCCAGCCCAATGTTCCAAATTCCAAGGGAGTCACTTGAATTTTAAGCAAAAGTCACATTTAGTTATATTGTTGTTTGATTTTTCCCAGCTCAAAAAAGCACTGTAGGGAAAAAAATAAAAATACATGTCCGCACAAAAACTTGTACATGTATGTTCATTGTAACGTTATTCATAATAGCCAAATAGTGGAAAGAACTCAAGTGTCCATTAACTCAATGGTAAGTCTATATAATGGGAGTATGATTCAGCCATCAAACAGATGAAAAGACTGACACATGCCACAACAGGAATAACCTTGAAACACCATGCTCACTGAAAGACACCAGATACAAAGGTCCATATATTGGATTCCATTTCTATAAATTGTCCAGAGGACAATGCTTAGAAACAAAAAATAGACTGGTGGTTGTCAGAAGACCATGGGAAAGGAGGATGGGAAATGACTGCTATGGGTATGGGTGATGAAAATGTTCTATAATTGATTGTGGTGATGGTTGGACAACTTTGTGAATATAACAAAAACCACTGACTTGTGTATTTTAAATGGGTGAATTGTATGGTATGTAAATTATATCTCAATAAAGCTATTATAAAAATACCATTGTGGGCATTTTTTTACATGAAGAATTTTTAAGGTGATCGGCATTCAACTTGAATAAGTTAGTGCCTAAGCAAGTCTTAGGAGTCAGGTGCAATGGCTTGTACCTATAATTCCAGCACTCTGGGAGGCCAAGGCAGGAGGATCACTTGAGGCCAGGAGTTTGAGACCAGCCAGGGCAACACAGTGAGACTCCCTCTCTACAAAAAATTAAAATTGCCCTGTAGTCTCAGCTACTCAGGAGGCTGAGGTGGGAAGACTGCTGAGCCCAGGAATTGGAGACTGCTGTGGGCTATGACTGTACCACCACACACCAGCCTGGGTGACACAGCAAGACTCTGTTTCTAAAAAAAACAACCTGGTCTAGGAAGAAAATTCTTGAATGAAAACAACAACAACAGCAACAACAAAAAACAACTTAGGACCCAAACTCACTCTGAACCAACAAGGGCCATTTGATATTCCTCATGACCCTAATTAAATTTAATGCTGGTGTATCATAATTCAAATTTAGGTGTAATGGCAATTAAAGAAACAACCCAACATGGAACACTTGATGAGTGTATATGCGAAGTGAAGATAAACAAAAAGAAGATGGCTAAGAAACTACATCATAGGTGGTTTCTTCCTTATCAACACCAGTCTGTGTGATTCCCATGCCAGGATAAACAATGACGCTCCCCTCCCTGTGTCCATGTGTTCTCATTGTTCAACATCCACCTATGAGTGAGAACGTGCGTCACTTCTCCTGTCTCCTCCCTCCTTGGAAGCCCGTCTGTTGGCTGCATTAACAAAGCAATGAGGACTACGACAGCAAAACTGGTGAGGATTGAATGGGAAAGCTGAGAAAACGGTTCTCCCCACGGCTTTCACCTCAGACTTCACAGGCCAAAGTTACCACGGACGGAGCTGTTTTTTCTTGGGCTTTTTTGAGACCGGGTCCTGTTGCCCAGACTGGAGTGCAGTGGTATGATCATAGCTCACTGTAGCCTTGACCGCCTGGGCTCAATCGATCCTCCCACTTTAGCTTCTTGAGTAGCTGGGAGTACAGGTATGTGCCATTGCTCCTAGCTGATTTTTTCTTATTTTTGTAGAGATAGGGTCTCTCTCTCTCTCTCTCTCTCTTTTTTTTGAGATGGAGTCTCGCTCTGTCACCAAGGCTGGAGTTCAGTGGCATGATGCCAGCTCACTGCAACCTCCACCTCTCAGGTTCAAGCAATTATCCTGCCTTGGCCTCCCAAGTCGCTGGGATTACAGGCATGTGCCACCATGCCTGGCTGATTTTTCTATTTTTAGTAGAGACAGCGTTTTGCCATGTTGGCTGGGGAAACTTCTAACCTCAAGTGATCCACCAACTTCAGCTTCCCAAAGTGCTGGGATTACAGGTGTGAGCCACTGTGCCCAGCTGAGACAGGGTCTCTCTGTATTGCCCAGGCTAGTCTTGAACTCCTAGAACTCAAATGATCCTCCTGCCTTTGCCTCTCAAAGTGCTGGGATTACAGCCATGAGCCACGCCTGGCTATGAGCTTGTTTTGGGTCTGACTTAAAGCCCCTGTTTGGACACTGTACACTGTTAATGCCTCTGAAGCCACTGCTGAGAGGCCCTATAGCCTCTGTTTTCCAAAATCCTATTTATTTATTTAAAAGCAATTTTTAAATTATTTTTATTTTTCTATAAAGACAGGGTCTTAATATGATGCCCAGACTGGTCTTGAACTCCTGGGCTCTAGAAATCCTCCCACCTCAGGGTCCCAAAGTGTTGGGATTACAAGTATGAGCCCCACACCCGGCCAGCAATAAAAATTTTAAAAAAATTAAATTTACCATCTTAATCATTTTTAAGTGTATAGTTCAGTAGTGTTAAATATATTCATTTTTATTTATTTGTTTATTTGTTTTTTTTTTTTTAAATTGCATTTTAGGTTTTGGGGTACATGTGAAGAACATGCAAGAACATTATTGCATAGGTACACACGTGGCAGTGTGATTTGCTGCCTTCCTCCCCATCACCTATATCTGGCATTTCTCCCCATGCTATCTATCCCCAACTCCCCACCCCCTGCTGTCCCTCCCCTATTTCCCCCCAACAGACCCCAGTGTGTGATGCTCCCCTCCCTGTGTCCATGTGTTCTCATTGTTCAACATCTACCTATGAGTGAGAACGTGCGGTGTTTTTCTGTTCTTGTGTCAGTTTGCTGAGAATGATGGTTTTCAGGTTCATCCATGTCCCTACAAAGGACACAAACTCATCCTTTTTGATGGCTGCATAACATTCCATGGTGTGTATGTGCCACATTTTCCCTGTCCAGTCTATCATCGATGGGCATTTGGGTTGGTTCCAGGTCTTTGCTATTGTAAGCTGTGCTGCAGTGAACATTTGTGTGCATGTGTCCTTATAGCAGAACAATTTATAATTCTTTAAATATATACCCAGTAATGGGATTGCTGGGTCAAATGGAATTTCTATTTCTAGGTCCTTGAGGAATCGCCACACTGTCTTCCACAATGGTTGAACTAATTTACACTCCCACCAACAGTGTAAAAGTGTTCCTATTTCTCCACATCCTCTCCAGCATCTGTCGTCTCCAGATTTTTTAATGATCGTCATTCTAACTGGCGTGAGATGGTATCTCAATGTAGTTTTGATTTGCATTTCTCTAATGACCAGTGATGATGAGCATTTTTTCATATGTTTGTTGGCCTCATGTACATCTTCTTTTGTAAAGTGTCTGTTCATATCCTTTGCCCACTTTTGAATGGGCTTGTTTGTTTTTTTCCTGTAAATCTGTTTCAGTTCTTTGTAGATTCTGGATATCAGCCCTTTGTCAGATGGGTAGACTGCAAAAATTTTTTCCCATTCTGTTGGTTGCCGATTCACGCTAATGACTGTTTCTTTTGCTGTGCAGAAGCTGTGGAGTTTGATTAGGTCCCATTTGTCTATTTTGGCTTTTGTTGCCAATGCTTTTGGTGTTTTGGTCATGAAGTCCTTGCCTATGCCTATGTCCTGAATGGTTTTGCCTAGATTTTCTTCTAGGGTTTTTATGGTGTTAGGTCTTATGTAAAAACAATTTTTTAAACAAGGTCTTGCTCTGTTGCCCAGGTTGGAGGACATCCTTGAATTCCTGGGCTCAAGCAATGCTCTCGCCTCAGCCTCCCAAGTAGCTGGGACTATAGGTGTGTGCCACCAAGCACAGCAAACCAAAGTCTTCTTTAAAACCACTGTGAGCACTTTAGCACAGAATACAACCTTGATGAACATCTGTGCTAGGACCAGAAATCCAACCACTGAATGAACACACAGATCTGCATGGCATGTTTCCTATGTTTTCCAATACTAAGACCACTGCATTAACACTGAGAGTAAATGTCCCACACTTGTAAGCTGATTGTAATTGTACAAGGACTTTCTTGCCTTCTCTCTCAGTTGCTAGTCAGCAGTCAACAGGTTTCGTCTATCAAAGATGTTTGCCAAAAAATATGACCAAAAGGCTTATTAAATAAAGCTTTAAAAGCTTTTAATAATATCATGTTGATATTCAGGCATGTATGTTTGGGGACCCTCTTCAGCACCTAGTTTGAGTCTACACTGTGTGTCAGGGCCTAGCTTAGGCAATGGGGACTCTAGCAAAGAATAAAACAAAACCTCTGTTTTTAGGAAGTTTATATTCTAGAAGGAAGGGATACATGGACTTTTTTTTTTTTTTTGGCTGGAGTGCTCAGCTCACTGCAACCTCTGCCTCAAGTGATTCTCATGCCTCAGCCTTCCAAGTAGCTGGGGGCATAGGCATATGTCACCGGACCTGGCTAATCTTTCATCATGTTGGCCAGTCTGGTCTTGAACTCCTGGCCTCAAGTGATCCGTCCACCTCACCCTCTCAAAGTGCTGGGATTACAGGTATAAACCACCAAGCCCAGCCCACAGGAACAAATGTTAACAAACAAGTGAAATAACAGCAGTAAAAATGTCAGGTTCTGGGAGAGCATTAAAATACTGTAATTTCACAACAAAGAGTACCTGGACAGTCAGTCACCTTAGATGGCGAGGGCAGAGCTTTTTGAAGAGGTAGGACTATTCACTGAGATCTGAATTACAGAAAGACAGCCAGGGGGAGCTCTGGGCCATCCCTAAAGAAGAAGCATACTTGCTGTGTGAGCACTACAGAAGAGAGGCCGCCAGGCTCAGAGGCTCCTGTGAGGTTTTGTGAGGCAGGTTAGGGTTTGAATCTATTTCATGAGAAGATCTGCATTAGAGGAGGGAGAGCTGATTTCTGTGTCTACAAGATTGCTCTGGCTGTTGTGGAGAGGAGAGCTGAGGCCTAGGCTGTTGTGGTGGAGGTGGGAATGGAAACTTGTGCAGATGGGGACATATTTTGCAATAGTCAACAGCACTTGCTGATAGCTTTCCTGAGCAAAAAGGATGGCTCGTGGGGCCCCTTCCAGATATGGGGAGGCCAGTGGCAGAGGAGAATTTGGGGGAAAAATTCAGATTCTACCTCACATGCTAGATTTTAGGGGGTTATAAGATGATTTGTGAGTTAAAGATCAACAAAACCCTATCCTTGTCTACCTCAGAACTTTTTTTTTTTTTTTTTTTTTTTTTT